ATGCACAGCGGGCAGCAGCAGCAGAAGCTGCTTTCGCGAGAGTCCAACAAGATATTTCTGAGCTCCGGCAGCCGGGGGAGGATGTGATGCTTGCCGGCGATCTAAATGCCCGTATATCTAGTGCACAGCATACAAAGCACCGGTCCTCGCCTGCTGACCTGCCCGGGTATGTTAGTGACGTTCCAGATTTAGACCAACTGACAGCACTGCAGGAGTTCATGGGCTTACCGGGGGACACGGACCCCCAGGGCTACACAGACGTGCCCGGACGTAGGAGTGAAGACCTTGTCTGCAATTTCGCTGGGCACCAGTTGGGCGCCCTGTGCCGATCACAAGGGCTGCTGGTATTAAATGGCCGTGTTTCTGGGGATTTAGAGGGTCGTCTGACCTTCCCCAAGGGTGAAGCAGGTGGGAGCATTATTGATCTTTTCGTAGGTTCGGCCGGTGTTCTCCGCCATGCCTATTGGATGCGAGTGGGCGAGCTACTCGCGCCAGATGGTTGGTTCCCGACTGACCACCGTCCAGTGACGCTAGTGCTTGGTCTAGCTGTAGGAGGAACTGGGACGAGTGCCAAAGGGTGCTGCCAAAAGAAGCGAGCAGTGTTTGAGATTTCCCGTTATCGTGACTATGCTGCTCTGTTCACTGATGGATCCCAGGTCATGCATGCACTAAATGGGGTGATCACGGACCTATCGAATGGGGCCTGCAACAGCACGGAGTCGGTGGAGCGCATTAGTACCCTCCTGCGGAAGGTGCTGATTCGAGTATTTGCGGGTCGCAGGCCTGAGGGTATGCAAGCGGGGGGTGGTGCATTATGGTGGAACGAGGAATGCCAAAGCGTCCGGCAGCACATGCTTGCCTGCAGGGTGCGGCTTGGCCCTGGCAGGGTCGAGAATAAGTCAGGCCCCTTGTGGGAAGCATTCTGCAAGGCACGTAACGCAATGAACCGTGCCAAACGTCGTGCCCGAGCAGCATATGATGCAGAGAGAATGCGTGAGTTCGTGGTAAGGTGCAGGCACGATCAGCGCGCACTATGGCGGGCCTTGGGAGGCA